AGCTAAGTGACACTAATATTTATCACTATCAAACATTTTTATGAGTGAAGACATTTTATCTTTACTCGTTTTTGTATGCTATTAGAGCATCCACATTGGAGACAAAATGTGGATTTCTCTAAATAAAAAATTATTAAAATTTGAGTAAAACTAAGAAAGAGAAGGTAAAAAATTGAAATAATGTGGTGTATTGAAATATAAAATTAATAAAATTTGAGTAAAGAGAGGAGATAGTGGGTATTATTGGAGAGAATATGTATTTTGGGATGTATGGAAAGATGAAGTTGGAGAGAGAATGGATGAAAGTTGGCGTGTGTTTAAATATAAAATTAATAAAAGTTGAGTAAAATGAAGAGAGAGTTTCTTTAAGTTGATACTTTTGGAGAGTTTTGTGGGAAAAAGTGGGTGTGTTTAAATATAAAATTAATAAAAGTTGAGTAAAATGATGAAAGAAAAAGTATAAAGTTGAGTAAAAGGAAGAGAAAGTGTGTTTTTAATATTTTTTTATTTAGAGACATCCATATTTTGTGTGTATTATGAACGGTATTAGTGCCGCTCTAATCAATATATACACAAATCGAAATCACATCTAAATCCGGTCACATAGTATGAAACGTTACATGAATACTCCGTTGGAAACCACACTAGAGATATTATACCGATCCGTTCGGTTGAAGTAACCGAACTTGAACCAAGAATCGAAAATCTCGATTCTGTTCAGACACTTCGGTTCGGTTTTGTCTTCCAACCAATCAAACCGCAACTTCAATCTGCAATCCGTTCCGGTTTTATACGAACCGAAACCTTCTCTTTTTGAACCACATGTCTGCAATGCTTCTTTCTTTGCATTGTAATGTTACCTCCTCAAGCCTAACAAGAACCCATGTTTCTTCGACCTGTGTCGTCCTCGTTTATCTTCTTTCATGTGGTTCCTCGTAAGCTCAAGACCAGAACTGTCCTTCGTGTAATGTTTTCATCTTTTCTCTCAAAACCGTTCCCATTACTTTACTATGTTCTGATTTTTTGTAATTTTGGCTGTAGACTCTTTGTGAGTTCAGGATAAAGACGCCAATATCTGGTTTCCGAACTAGTTGTATTGCTGTCTCTGTTTCTCTCTCTGAGGATGAGTCATTTCAAGAAAACGAAACTGTAAGAAAAGGAATTAGACCTGATGATCAGACTTTTATCTGGCTGCTTGAAGGATGTTTGAATAAAGAAGGGTCTTTAGATGAAGGGAGAAAGCTACATGCCCAGATTTTGAGGTTGGGTTTTGACAAAGATGCTTTCCTGTCTGAAAAGCTTCTTGATTTTTATCTATTCAAAGGAGACATAGATGGTGCTCTCAAGGTGTTTGATGATATGCCTGATAGAACGGTTTTTACTTGGAATAAGATAATAAAGGAGTTAGCTTCTAGGAATCTGACTGGAAAAGTGTTGGGTCTCTTTTGGAGAATGGTTACTAAACATGTTACTCCTGATGAAGGCACCTTCTTAGGTATTTTGGAAGCCTGTCGTGGCGGAACTGTTGCTATTGATGCAATTGAGCAGATTCATGCAAGGATGATTCATCAGGGTTTGGGTAACAGTACAGTTGTGTGTAATCCTTTGATTGATTTGTATAATAGGAATGGGTTTGTGGATCTAGCTAGAAGGGTTTTTGATGGATTACACATGAAGGATCATAGTTCTTGGGTTGCAATGATATCTGGGTTGTCGAAAAACGAATGTGAAGCAGACGCCATTAGATTGTTCTGCGATATGTATATTTTAGGTGTCATGCCAACGCCTTACGCGTTTTCAAGTGTTTTAAGTGCGTGTAAGAAGATGGAATCTCTTGAGATGGGCGAGCAACTTCATGGGCTTGTACTGAAGCTAGGGTTTTCCTCTGATACGTATGTGTGCAATGCACTTGTGTCCTTATACTTTCATTTGGGAAATTTGATATCAGCAGAACACATCTTCAGCAACATGTCACTTAGAGATGCGGTTACTTATAACACTCTAATCAATGGGCTTGGTCAGTGTGGTTATGGTGAGAAAGCTATGGAATTGTTTAAACGAATGCAGCTTGATGGACTTGAACCAGACTGCAATACTCTTGCAAGCCTTGTGAGTGCATGTTCAGCTGATGGAATTCTTGTTAAAGGACAACAACTACATGCATACACAACGAAACTTGGTTTTAATTCAAACAGCAAGATTGAAGGTGCACTTCTCAGTCTGTATGTGAAATGCTCTGATATTGAAACTGCCCTTGATTATTTTCTTGAGACTGAGGTTGAAAATGTAGTTCTGTGGAATGTTATGCTAGTTGCTTATGGGCTACTAGACGATTTAAGAAATTCGTTTAGGGTTTTTAGACAGATGCAAATGGAGGAAATTGTTCCAAATCAATATACCTACCCGAGTATTTTGAAAACTTGCATCCGGCTGGGGGATCTTGAGCTTGGAAAACAAATCCATAGTCAAATAGTAAAGACTAGCTTTCAGCTCAATGCATATGTGTGTAGTGTGCTCATAGATATGTACGCAAAATTAGGGCAGTTAGATACTGCCTGGGATATTCTTATAAGGTTTGCTGGGAAAGATGTCGTGTCTTGGACAACGATGATTGCAGGTTACACGCAATACAACTTCAACGACAAAGCTTTAACAACTTTCAGGCAGATGTTGGATTTAGGGATCCAATCTGATGAAGTTGGATTAACAAATGCAGTTAGTGCATGTGCTGGTCTTCAAACCTTAAAGGAAGGACAGCAAATCCATGCTCAATCTTGTGTATCTGGTTTCTCATCTGACCTGCCATTTCAAAATGCACTGGTTACACTTTATTCTAGATGTGGAAAAATAGAGGAAGCATATTTAGCGTTTGAAAAAACTGAGGCGGGAGATAATATAGCATGGAATGCTCTGATATCGGGATTTCAGCAGAGCGGAAACAATGAGGAAGCACTTCGTGTCTTTGCTCGAATGACCAAAGAAAGAATTGATAGTAATAATTTCACGTTTGGGTCTGCTGTAAAAGCTGCTTCCGAGACGGCAAACATGAAACAAGGGAAGCAGGTCCATGCAGTGATCACCAAAACCGGATATGATTCAGAAACTGAAGTTTGCAATGCTTTGATTTCTATGTATGCCAAGTGTGGAAGCATTTCTGATGCAAAGAAGCAGTTCCTTGAAGTCCCCACGAAAAATGAAGTTTCTTGGAATGCGATAATTAATGCTTTTTCTAAACATGGATTTGGTTCTGAAGCACTTGATCTCTTTGACCAGATGATACATTCTAATCTAAGGCCTAATCATGTGACGCTTGTGGGAGTTCTATCAGCATGTAGCCACATTGGACTTGTGGACAAGGGCATTGAATACTTTGAATCCATGAACACAAAATATGGATTAGTTCCTAAGCCTGAACACTATGTGTGTGTAGTGGATCTGCTAACCCGAGCTGGTCTTTTGACCCGTGCGAAAGATTTTATTCTGGAGATGCCTATTGAACCAGATGCCTTGGTATGGAGGACGCTTTTGAGTGCTTGTGTGGTGCACAANAACATGGAAATAGGGGAGTTTGCAGCACGTCATCTCCTCGAGTTAGAACCTGAAGACTCAGCAACATATGTACTTCTGTCAAATCTGTATGCCGTGTGCAGGAAATGGGATGCTCGGGATCGAACAAGACAAAAGATGAAAGAAAAAGGTGTGAAGAAAGAACCTGGGCAAAGCTGGATTGAAGTCAAAAACTCGATCCACTCTTTCTACGTTGGCGACCAGAATCACCCGTTGGCAAATGATATACATGAATATTTCCAAGATCTTACCAAACAAGCATCTGAGATCGGGTATGTGCAAGACTGTTTCAGCCTCTTGAATGAAGCGGAGCAAGAGAAAAAAGATCCGACAATTTTCATTCACAGCGAGAAACTAGCGATTTCATTTGGACTACTTAGCTTGCCTACAACAATGCCTATACATGTAATGAAGAACCTACGAGTCTGCAACGATTGCCATGATTGGATAAAGTTTGTATCCAAGGTATCAAATCGAGAAATCATAGTGAGGGATGCATATAGGTTTCATCATTTCGACGGAGGGGCTTGTTCATGTAAAGATTACTGGTAAAAAGTAAAAACCAAAGCCTGGTTAGCTCACTCGCCACTTTTGAGAAGGTTAAGTCCCTGTTACTCCTAAGTTCAAGCTCCATAGTTAAGGAGAAAACTAATTTACATGAACTATCCTCGGCTCGAGGAAGAAGATGATGGACTAAAGATTAAGGGTTGAAGGTATGAACAGCCTAGTAATTGGTAATTTCGATTTGATGCTGCAAAAGCACCACTTTCTTTGTGAAACAAATGTTTATGCTGTACATGTTATATAACTGCTGTTTTCAGCTTGTACAGTTGTACCTACGCAAAAACACAAACTTGTACATTTCCTTCATAAGATCTGGATTCCTCAAATATAAAAAGAAACAGGGAAAATTATAGTCTCTTTGTGTTTACAAAATTCTGATATCCATTATAAATTAAGAAATCGTGAATCTTTTGTCACATAACATTTTCCGTATTTTGAGAAATTTTATATATTAATTTGTTTTTGCAAGGTGGTTTACATATAGACAAATTTGTAAAAAATACGTAGTAACAATTTTTTTTATAAATAATAATTAACATATTTTATCGTGTGTTTGTCAAAAAAAAAAAATTATGTTCTCTATTTTTTCCCGACTAAACAACTTTATTGATATCTAAAAATTACAAATAGTTTTACAAAAATCTTCGAAAACAAATTATTACATAAACACAATGCAGAATTATGCGTCATTTTCTAAAGATGATATAAACTAAAAAGTGAATTTAACGATTCGTTTTGATTTTTACTCACTAACAGGTTATTAAATTCGTTATTTTTATTTTCAGTTATCGAACTTCTTATGCGAAAGTTGTGAGCGATCATCTTCCCTTTACACTTCGCATTACAAAAGTCAATATTTTCAAGAATACCTCCGAAAATTCAACCATTTTATACCAATAATTCCGTATCAAAATCACTTTATAGAACATTAACTTTGGTTTCCTCTTGAATCGATCCAACAATAAACAAATTTTGTGATGCCAATCTTTGTAAATCGTAAAGATAATGTTGATTTCCTTCCTTCATCTTCATATATCAACATAATCGCAATTGATATACCGACTTCTAAATACGACAGGTTGTGACACAAACACCTTCGAAAACGGAAAAAGGATACCTCGAAAAAAGGACATGAAACCGGAAGATCGAATGACCAAAGAATTTATACTCCCTCTGTATCACAATACATGATATTTAAGGTAGTGACACAACAATTAAAAAAAATTCAATAAATAATACTATAATTTTTTGTGTATTTTTATATTAAACAACTACTTATTAAATAAATAACATTAATTTAACCAATCACATAAAATACTGCAGAATTCAAAATGTC